AAATGAGATTCCTCTTTCATCTATTAATTATTTTCGGCTCCATTATCGTTCGTCTTAGGGTTCCCATTTAAATGTACAACGATTCTAGTATAATTTCAGCGAGACAATGAACTATGAAGCATTCTATATGTACATTACACGTTTTCTATTCGACGCTTGTGCTATACAATTTTCGGTTGTGATCGCGTAAACGTAAAACTGATGGAAAGAGGCATCGCGAAGAATAAGAAATACAGTTAAATTTACGCTTAACAGGGGTAACTTTTGAAAACAGCTTAAGTCGCGAATTATTCATTTTTAACGTCCGCGAAACGAAACGTTCTTTTTTTAAACGGTACACCAATAACGGGATCAAACGAGTGATATCGAGTATTATTTTTGAAAAACGAACGAGGAAAAAAACGATAACATGTAAATACGTTTCACTTGAACGTTCTCAATCATTTTATAAATTTCCTCGTCGATCAATCATTTAAACGAACCATTCCATAGATTATAATAATAATTCGTCTAGCGACTTATGCTTTCAAAGTTATCTGAGCTTTAATTACACCAGTATCTACAGTATTGATCAATTTTTCAATCCCACGACCATAATTTCCGCTATTATTTCAAATGTGATATTTAAGTGTTAATTGCAAAGCTTGTGATACTTTCGTTTTTACTTTTTGTTACAAAAAGGAAAAACGAGTTTTCATTTAATACTTAATTACGTATTACATGTATCGACTATTTTTATTGTAAATTATAATTTGATGAATTTTGGTAATACTAATAAACTTTCTGGCGCTTCTTAAAACGTTACTCTGCTCTATTTTCATTATATCAAATTAATCCATTTCACCTGCAATCCTATTACTATTTCGAAACAGCAAGTCTCTATGTGTTTCAGTTTATAACAAACGCCTGGCACGAGTGAATTTCCTTGGAAGAAATCTGAGTCTGAGCATTGAAGGCTTTGTTTATGAGTTATCAACTCGACTCCGATCGTAAGAGGAATGAGATAAGTTCCCGTTACATTACAAGACCTCCCATGCTTTTACGTACTTTCCCATAGAAGCAAAGTATGAATAGTTGACACTAGACCTACCTAATTTATTTTATATACGTCTTTCTCCCTTCAAGGCCAACCAGTTTGGTATGATAGCTCTAATATTAAGACACAATGAGGTACGCTGTCCTCTCTATTACCTGTGGCGTATACATATAAACAGACAGGAGAAGCCAAGGCAGGAGAGAGGAATAATAGGAAGAGCCATAAATGGCCCCAGTTCGTTTTTTCCAGAATCTTTTCAATCCCTGGTTAATTGCATATTATTCCTCATACTCATTTCAGTTTTCTAAAAATATATTAAAAAAACTTTAATAACATTTTATATAACAGTTTATATAAGAAATAATTAACGAGTAATTGAAAAGAATCCATAGAATCGATATAGAGATTTTCATCGTATTTCTACTATGTACAGTTTATTTAATATAAATAAAAAGACGATGTTTTATTTGTAATGTACAAAATAGTAGGGGGGCCATCCTCGATATAGTTCAAGGCTCGATAGACTTTTTGTCATGAAACGTTATTGTTGCTGCGTCGTAGGTGTGCGTAACATATAATATATTTACAACGTTGTTTGCGAAAATACTTTGACACATTAATAAATAAACGATTCGACTGTTTTACAAGCAAGCATAGTAGGGACAACAAGTATTGATTTGACTCAAACAAAAACGAGATAGATTCAGTTTTAAATTCATCCACAGATTAAAAATTGTCTTGGCCTAATATAAGACCAATTGAATTTTCAATTGCAATATTAAAACTAGACTGCGGATTTCTGTGCATTTTATTTTTTCATATTCATGAACATGGGAAATATTCTTTATATTCACTGCCAATACAATTTTTTTACAAATGCAAAAAATTCGCAGTCTAATAATAAAAACGTTTTAAGATTGAAAATACTGATTTCCAAGCTTCCGAACTTTCCAATTCCTTGAATAAGTAATTTAGGACTTGTAGCCTCTACTGCATACTCTCTCTTTCTCTCTCTCTCTCTTCCACGCGAATAGAGTATGTACGATGCATATGATTATCATCTCACGGGTCCTGCGGTGAAAAAGTATTGACGTCACCGCAGGAACAAATCTATACATCTTCGGTGTATAGCCTCATCATTGATACCGTTAATTAAATCCTACGTTAAGTTACTTAATCGAACGAGTTACGTATGGACACCGAATAACTTACTCACGTATATTGATAATACTTATTGGGAGTTTCACCTAGGAAAAAAAAAACTCGATATTTAACAGGTGAAACGTGCATTGCCTGACACGTGTACTCGTGATCGTGCAGATAATGATTGACACTCGCGTCTCATATCTTTTAACTATTTACAGTCGTTGGAGCTAGCTTACACATTCTCTCTGGAAGTTGTATTTTTCTCATTTTCCCAAAATATTGTCATGCAACCATTGACTTTCAAGACCATACAATAGATTATTCTACAAACTTCACTAGGCGACTATTCACCCAAAGATCATCAGAACAGAGTTCAACGTCGATTGTATTACTCATTAAACAGGGTATGAAGTATAATGAATCATATTTAGTTTGGTGTTAATCGACGTCCAACTGTATATTGCACACACATTTAATTTATACTATTAGGTATAATAAACATTCAGTGATTTCATAGATGCTAGATTTCGGTCCCTGAATAACTTGGCAATTAAGGAAAACTATTGATATACGTTTTAGTAAAGAGAGTATAAATAACGATTATGTTATCTCTTTTCTTCAAAGGTGACTAAAGATTGACTGAGAATGGTTGATAAGGAATATCCTGTGAAATCTGCGTTAGTTCTGGTTAAAACAGACAGAACATAAACAAATATTTTACTCACAGACTTTAATCTAAAAAGTACTCTGACATAATTGCACTTGCAATTATTAAAATGTACTCTGTATCATTAAATCTTTCTCTAATGTTAAAATGTTCGCAAACAGATTTAGTTGTACGATTAAAATCTCTATTTCCTTTTTAGAAAAATATCGCGTCCCAGAAACAGGGATAGATTTATCAATTCCAATGAATATTTCATAAATAACGACTTGTAATTAAATATATATTATAAACACTTCTTGTAATATTCAGTTATCACTGTTAAAAATACTAAAGTCCTGCTTCATATATTTAGAACGTTAATCTTGCTCGTTTTATATATATATTTGTTTCTAGGTCCATGCAAATTGTCATCGAACACGAGATATAAATATAAATAAAAATGTAGAGCATTAAAAATTGAAGGCGTAAAGTAAAAAAAACGTCGTTTATCAAAACGTATCATTGAATTAAATAGTTTTAAAACGTTTCCAAATAAAATCTCACCTTATATATTCTCTCGACTCGTGCATTAAATACGTTCAGCGGCGAAAAGAAAAATTAGCTCCAACGTAGAATCCTATTTAAAACAACCTCGTCGACCCCAGGACGTGCGGCGAATTATTTCTATCAGTATCGCAGCTTACCAATTTAGAATTAATATAACGAAACGTCGTAGCTCCGACGATGTGACTTTAATCACCGACGGTTGTATCGTTAAACGTAAAATCGCTACGTTTAACTCTAATTCCTATCTCGCCGTTCGTCAAGGATAGGGTTCGAACGCGAGGAACGTCATGGGAAGCGCATCAACACTCCTCGGTCGAGGTACTAGAGATCTGAGTGCTGGCCCCGCTGGAGAAGCTGCTCCTGCAGGTCTCCACGGCCAACGCCGTGTCCGGCACTTGAACGAACTGCACTTTCTCCTTGGGCCAACGCGGCCTGCCGTACATGCAATTGAATATGTTGTGTTTGTGCTCCATCTCGAAATTGCTAAGAGTACTGCTGTGCCGCCTCTTGAGCACCTTCTTCGCCATCAGGCTACGATTGTTCTTGTACGACAGCTCCTTACGGAAGCAGAAGAACCGTCTCAGCTCGCGTTTCACGCGTTTCGACCGGTAACCGAACAGCAACGGGCTGATGTACGCTGCCAGTATCAACAGACCGGAGGCCAGCACGTCGTACTTGTGCGGCAAATGTTGGTCAGTGGATCGAGGCAGATTCTTCATCACCAAGAGTATCACGTACGGCGACCAACATATCAGACCCATCACGATTACCAGAGCGCTTATCCGCGCAGCCCGCGCCTCCTCCCGGTGCCTAAATATAGAACCGTTACTTATCCGGTCTTTCAGCGAGTTTATGTAGCTCGAGGTGCTCCGGACGCTCGACACGCGATGCAGATTCTCGTGCTTGCTAGGCGCTGGCGTGATTGTAACTATAGGCGCCAGTAGACACGCCGACGAATCCGTCCCGCTGTTATTCTCAGTCTTGTTACAGCTAATTTCACACGCGCCCGATGAACCGTTCGTCGTCTTTAGCGACGATCTACGGCTGGACCTCGGCTCCGAAGGAACCACCGTCAACGTTCTAAGGTCCGGTCGTGCCGTTTCTACCTCTAATAAACGTCCTTCTCTTTCTTCGTCGTCTCCAATCTCGACGGGTCTTATTACCGACTCGTTATTAACGCCCGTTTCCACGTCGACTTTCGAAATCTTTAATGACTCGTTTAACAAATCTACAGGGTAGACGGAGGAGGGATCGAACTGCTTTAAGTCGTTTTGTAAATTATCGAAGCACTCGAAACCTTCGTCCTCGGAATCGCTACTCCCGTCGATGAACGTTCCTGAGATCCAGCCGATGGGCGCCTGTTTCTCCTGTTCCGTGGATTCTTCCGTCTGCTGCGAATCTCGTCTTCGATTCTTAATCTCATCCGCGTCTTCGTCGATATCACAATTATTCTCGTACGACCGATCGCCCGTAGGATCCTCTTCGTTCTCCACCGAATGACACACTTCGAGTCTCTTCAGACCGACCGTGAATACAATGCCCGAAGACGTCTTACCTTCCCCGGAAGCCGCACCCATGCCTAGCTCCAACGAAGACGAGAAAGACCGTCGACGAGACAATTGCCCGGCCGGTTGAATCGTCTCGCTGGTCTCGTCTATGGACGACAAGCTCGATATCTTCGGGAGTTTGCGAAAATCGTCGACGGTCTCCGCTTGGAAACGTTGAAGCCTGGACGACGCGATATGCTCTTCGGTGAAACTCGCCGAGGACGACAATACCGGCCTGGACCCGGACCTCCTCGCTCTCTCCGAGTTCCTATGCGCGGCCACATAAATACTTACGTAGATCCAGCATACGGCGACGAACGGAATTAGGTAAGCGAAAACGGCGTACGCTACGGCGTAGACGAAGCCATAAGTAACCGTACCACTGATAAGCGTATCGAAAATCACAGTATTATTCCCTACGAGATCGACGTCGCCGCTGGCCGATCTCCCGGACTCGTCGATTGTTTCTATTACGTTTGGTTTCAGCTGATTTTGCTCGCTGGCCTCGTCCTCCAGCACCGGGACTATCGTAGACTCTACGAAAGTGTCGAAGGAACCGTTGCTGACGGACCAGCTAGCGTTTCTAGGAATGCAGGTCAGCCAGAAGCTCTGGGGGTTTGGATTGAAGAACGCGAGGAAACCGAATATCAACGAGATGAACCAGATCGAACCGATCAGGATACCAGATTTCATTTTGTCCACGCGTGCTCGGTATCGGAGGGGGTCGACCACGGCGAAGTACTGATCTATGCCGATCAGCAGCACCGAGAGGACCGAGGACGTGGTCACGATCGCCACCGCAGCTTCCGACGTCGCGCAGATGCTTCTGATGAACGGAGACTCGGCTGTCGACCCATTGGACAACCTCGACGTGCTGTCCATTATCAGCAACGGGTTCATGATGGCGCATACCAACAGGTTTGACACGGTCAGGTTCATCACAAACCTAGAAACAAAACCGATTCGTCCGTTCTAATAAATTACAGTTTTTTTTTAATATTTGACGGTCATTATGAAAATTGATGTAGGAATTAGCATGATGTTAATTGGAGACACCGACCTGTTGGAAAGCGTCCGTAAGGACGGACGTATAAGGAATGCCAATAGGAGCGTGACATTCAGTAGGAAGCATCCGAAAAGGGCGAAACTCCATGCCGCGATACCGTGATTACTCCACCACCCCTCGAGATCTCCTAAGTCTGAGATCGGCCCTTCTCCGACGATGTCTGGCGAATCTCCAACCATTCATGTATAATAGATGCGACACAATTCTGAAACAATAAGACCATAAAGAGATTTATAAATTAACTGTGCAACTGCGTATTCTATATTACAGAAAATATTTCAGTTTAAAATGTAGGGAGTATGAATGAATTTCAGACAAGCTTCATTTTTATTCTTGTGCAGTACACAAATGCAAAACACAAACTAGAAACGTGCAGAAACGCACGATTGGAAAAAATATGATTCTTACCGAGCATTTATTTTGGTTCTTTCACTTATTCACGTGTTAAAAAAATCATTTATTTGCTCTCGTCCTATTTAAGTCAGCTTGTTCCCTGCTATTTCGATCTTGTCCGGAGCGAGCAAGCCTTGGATAACAGGTTCATCCTTGCGCACGACATGAACACATGATTCACAAAGAACACAATCCGAGTGTCCGAAAGAAGTATAGTTTTCCTTGAAACGTACGAAACGTCTGGCTCGAAAATTGAAATCATTCATGAGGTTTTTTCCTCAGATGATCTTTAGAAGTGAAAATAATACAATTTGCTTTTGCGATTGTATAAACACAGACGATGTCCGTGAATTTAATGATAATTCAGTTAAGCTCGCGTTCTAATTACGATAAATCAGCCGGGTCACCTGCGATCGTGGCATAAGCGCGTTTCGAACGAAAATAACTGCTGCTCGACGACCTTTGCTTAGGCGAGCTGTTAAGCGAACGGCGATGAATTTGAATGGAGCGCGATTGAATACGCGAAATGGGGCAATTTTTCTTGAAATTATTCCGCGTGACCTCAATGTATGTATATTGCGACTTACTCCTGCCCCGTCGGCTTATATTTAGAATTAACGGATTTTCCCGTGGGCACGTGTTGTGAAAATATCCGCGCACCCAGCGCGAAACTCTATGTCTTCGATCACTCCTACGTCTCGGTTCTGTGAAACAGAACCGTCGAATTTACCTATAAGAGATTTGTATCGACTTAGGTCATATCATATTAATGCATATCAATAAATAGAAGATTTTATTATACTTTAATTGATATTCTACTAAAAATAATGCAAAACGTTTAGAAATATGAAATATAACTTCAATTTAACGAGTTAAGTATGATTATATGGCATTTTATTGATGTTGACAAAATCCGACCATTCCACCGTCGAATCAGCGAACTTTTGACAATAAATTTCGTTTTTCGTCAATAACTCCCGAACGGGTGGACGTAGGAGGACGTATTTAGGCCTTATCTATTGATTCATGACATCATAAAAGCCGACACGAAACGTGACAGACGACTAACAAAATTGATATACATTTAAAAATTCTTTTAATAGATTTCTTAAGCATCTAACGTGCAACGACGGTTCCTTTATTGCATCCTTATGTCATCGAAACCAGATGATATCGACAACTCGCTCGACTCCTTAATACCGTCCGTGGTTCACTTTCAAACCTATATTTAGAGAATATGGTCGTAGGATTTGCACTGGTGCGGTAATAAAACCGATCACCAAGCGAAGATTTACCGGTGCTAGCCTCATGGCTTACGAGTCTCCACGATTTTCCAAAACTGTGCCTTCATCGTAAAACGAACATTTTAGAGATGCAAGATTTTTCGTATATTTTCCTTTCCGTCTAATTATTAATAAATCAAAAAATATTAGCAGCCTATAGAAACTATTGTGTTATAATTTTCATTCATAGATAAAACGATAAATAAATGCTGTTTAGAAAACAAACAGATTTAAAAAAGTCATATAGTTGTCAAATAAATTTGTAGACAGTTTGCTTCTACACTGGTTTGAACGCTGATAATAATTCTGTAAATCGTCGTATAAAAACAGTGAATGCTAAAAGCAATGTACAAATCTTGGCAACTGTCAGCGATGAAATGTGGAACTGTTGAATTATTCTCAAAATCATCGCCTCGCTTCCTAGGTGACGGTACAACACTGTTCCTAACCAGTGAAGTTGAGGAGAAACTAAATGCCAACTCGACGAAACCATATATCTCCCAGCTCGTGTATTTCACGAATTCTCTGATACGAAGTAATCGAGGAAATTAATATCTGTGACAATCAGCCAAGTTCCAATTGTTATTCCCTATTTCTCTTTTTTTTTTATATCATATATTTTTTTTAAATGCTTGACCGATGGTTATTGAAAAATGAATTACGATTATATCGTCTACGAATATTTTCTCTTTCTGCCAACTTTCGTTTGCCTCACTTTTAAAAACGAGGATACATCCTTAAGAATTTCTTTCTAAAAGAGAAACTCAATTAAATTCGATTGAAAAACGTTTACTATTTCTATATCATTAAACATGATAATTATTTCTTTTTATTATATTCTTGAATGGGAGGAGAAAATAGAACTTGAAGACAATAAACTGTTTATGAAATAATACAATTATAAATAAAGATACTAAGAAATGGAATAAATATTTTAATGCTGAGAATAGAGAATTATTTTCTCAGACTTAAAATGTTTGATTTTTTAACGTCTGCCAAAAAAAATGTTTTATCTTAATGTATAATGACTAACACACTTTGGACAATGTTTTTGCTTTACAATCGTTTAAAGAATCGAATCAGGTATAAATATAGTAAAGCGAAATTTCATGGACATTTCTCATTGCTACAAGTATTTACCTGAGGTAAGATAAGATATGGTCACAGTCATCATTAGTAGTATGCACGTTACCTGAATCTCGCAGTTAATGAAAGGAAATTGCGATAAGAAACTACTCAGACAACTGGAAACTCCACAGACAATTATAATCTGAAAACGAGTTGGCAAGCAATCACGTGAATCGTACAATTCTACAGAAACTCGATTCCCCATATTCTCTATTATAATGTACTATTCCTG